AGACCATTGCAACGCGATTTTCAACTATCGCATTGCGAAAATGCAACGCGAATTTGCGATAATGGAGATCGCGTTGCGAATTAGCGATCGCATTGCGATTTTGTTGGTCATTTTGGCAAATCCGGAAAAAGTTGGTTAAAATCGTATATTATATGGGATTTTTGGTCACTGAGGTTATTTTCTCTTAAATGTATTATTTATTTTTATCGTATTTTTATATTAATTTAACTCTAAAATTTAAGAATATTAATTTGATTTTAAGTTAATTTTTATATCATTTGAAATTATTGTCCTCTCTTTCTAAGTTATTTTAAATCTGATTTATTTTAAACTAAATAAGATCTATCAACTAAATCATTGGTAGAGAAATACAAAAACTAAAAAAATATTAATTTGAAATGTGTTAGGTTATAACGGCGGAATACTAAAATGAAATAAAATTAAAAGTTAGGTATAATTTTTTAAAAAAATTAAAAGTTTAATAATAAAACATATCAAAGCTTATAGTTTAAATATTAAACGCGTAGTTTACCTAATATAGTTTAATAGTTTTAAACCGGATATTTGATCAATATATGACACCAAACTTGATTAGGATTCATATATATAAAAAACATTAATGTTATTTTACCTAAACGAAATTATCTAAGTAATTAAAAGAATTGTTATTATTTCTAAATACCTTAAGTTCGAGTAATAGAGATAACATTGTATTCAAATATTAATTGAAAATGATTCATACTCTAAAAATAAGTGAAAGAGTATGGACTATGTACTTTTTTCAAAGAAAAATAATGTGGCTTTAGTACTATTATTCTTTTCCTTCAACAACTGTCCTTACAACGAAAAACTAATTATTTTCTTCTCTACTAACAGTCGCAACCAGTTTCTTTAATAACAGATTTTAAAAAGTATTCACGTCAGGAAGAATTGCCCATCTACGTCCTATATTAATACATATATGCTCAGTTTTTCTTTAAAAAGTAGTAATTGTTGTTTACAGCTCATCTGTCGGTGCAGCTGCTCTTTTAGTGGATACATTTCACATTTACCCTATTCCACCACCCCCAAGCGTTGGATATTTAACCCAAACTCATGCCTTTTATCTTCACGTGTATCGGACGAGCATGCAAAAGTTGACAAACTGGAACCGACATGGGGCACATCAGCAGCAATCGCAAAAGGAAAAAAACACACAGACGAAGACAAAGATTTGACGTGGACGAGATGGCTGATTCTCCGATATCTGTGTTCTGCACAAGCCACGTGAATCAGATTCTTTGCTTGCTTTTGCCTTGCTTTCTATGAGCTTTCCCAGTCTCACAGATCGTCTGATCTGACACTTACTGATTTTCTTCAGATGCGTGCATTATTGCCCTTCCTGTGTATATATACGTGGTGAAACGAGAGCTTTTCAATCCAAGGTTTAATCAGTGTTCATCAAGAGAGATCTTGATAGCTAAAGAAGATGATGAAAAGATCGTTGGGGATTTTCTTTCTGCTCCTCGTTGTTTTAGCCTCCCGTAAGTATATATTCTCTTTAAGATATATCATATGTATGTATGTATGATGAATGTTGGGTGCATGCAGAATGTGGGGTGCAGCCAGCAGAGGCTAGGGTTTGCCAGTCACAGAGCCATAAGTTCAAGGGTGCATGTATGAGTAGCCACAACTGCGCTTTGGTGTGCAGAAACGAAGGCTTCTCCGGCGGAAAATGTCGAGGAGTCCGTCGCCGATGCTTCTGCACTAAGCTCTGCTAGTGGCCGACGACATGGAAGGGTTGTTTAAGAACATTGCTTCCTTCCCACGCTTTTAATGAATTTAGGGTTTGTAATGCATGCATTGTCGAATGTTTTAATAAAGGTTCAATCTCCCAATTAGTTCCATTATTGGGAGATCGTTCTTCATCTCTGTCTTTTCATGCCATTTAGTGGTTTTGTTTGTGATTTCCATTGTACTACAACTGCATTTTGCAGCTACTTCCATTAATGGATCTACTTATGTTAGAAGCTGACATGGGAACCTGTTGTTGTTTTTACTTGTGTTTTTGGTTGTATAACGCAATAAATGCATCCGAATTATTTTTAACTTCACCTTAATATCCGAACCGTATCCAGTATTTACAATTAAAAACATAATGATTCTTGAAAAATAAATTATGATTAATATGCATCAATCTATCTGAGTGGTTACAAGAATCGTTGTTGTTTCTAGAGGTCATAGGTTCGAGTAACAATGACTACAACATGGTGATTGAGCATTTATTATCAAATGATTGTCAAATGATTGAGAGTATTCAGAACAGATAATACTTAACTTAATTAAAAAAGCAATTAATTAATATAAGATTTAGCAGTTGGGCTTAAGATAATTAATGTTGGAAAATCTAAATCTTTTCGAGCAGTTCATTTAATATATATAAACATTATTTCGTCTTGGCACAAGTCATTTAAGATATGATAAATGATCTACTGATGAGATTTTACTATATGAGAATGAGACCAGAAAAAGACTACACTCACATTGAAGGTGGAAGAGAATGTATTTATAATTAACTTCATAGTTAAAGAGATGATTATTATTCCTAAAAGTCATAGGTTTGAGTAGGGATGGGCACTCAACCCGAACCCAACAGGTTTCGACCCGATCGGGTCGGTTTTTTTTTAAAAAAATTCGGGTTTGGGTCAGGTCGGGTCGAGTTTTTATAAGTGTAATATTCGGGTCAGGTCGGGTTCGGGTTTAGGGTGAAAAATACCCGACCCGAAAAAAATATATAATTTTACCTTATATATTTAGGAATAATTACAATAATATCCCTCTATATATAATTTTTTTCAATTAAGTCACTGTTTATATTGAATAAAAATCATTTTTATTATTATTTCGGGTCGGGTTTCTAAGTCATATATTCGGGTCGGTCGGGTCTTGATGGATGCTCCCTTATTCTCGGGTCGGGTGGACCAAAAACCCGACCCATTTCCATCCCTAGGTTTGAGCATGACTATGATGAGGTGAATCGTTTTCAAATCACGAGGCTGTTGGTGCACCGACAATTATAGCTTGCAAAGGTCTAAGAATTGTTCCCGATCGGGGGTGGAACCAAGGTGGGGGTAAGGGAACCTTGGTTCCAGTCAATTATATATTTTTAATTATTAATATATATATATATATATATATATATATATATATATATATAAAATTATCAGATTCCCCTTAATTAAAAGAAATTATATTTATGAAAAATAAAAAATATTTTAACCACGCTACAATTAATTTTTAATTCCGCTTCTGTTTTCGATGCAACCAAACTGGCTCAGATCCTTGCTGATTGAACGGCCACGAGACAACCGGAAAGAGTTTAAGACAAAAATTTGCATTTTTTTGTTATGTTTTATTTCATCCCATATTTCATCTCGAGTCGGACCATAATTTGTATATTATTGATTATGGTGCTATGATACAAACTGAACTAATAGAGTTGTTTTCATAATGGATTTATGTAATTAAAAGTGATAAAAGAGTCGGGTTAGATTAAGTTTTAGATCAGTTTGAATCCGATTCGAGAAGCACATCTCTTCCATCTGAATACGACCCGATTTCAGATTATGGATATCACGTTTCACCTGAAACTCAACTCAAATTTTAAGATAAAATTTCACATTCAACACAATCCAACATAAATATAAAAAAAATCTTATTTTTAATCAAAAAATAGGGACTTAAATGGGAAAAAAAGTTACAGTGAAATGGGTATTATAACAATTACCTCTAAATATATAGAAGAAAATTATATTAGTATCCTGATCAAGTCGAAGATTTCTCACCTTAAACCTGATTTAATCTTACCCTTTGCAAAATCTAACTCGAACCTTTTTTTAATGACTGTCAAAACCCATGTGAAATACTTAATTTGGATTAGTCGATTAATAGATGAAATGATAGTAATTATAGAAAATAAAAAATTTAAAAAAATCACAAGTTATACTTTTTTTGTTAGGAAATGATGGTGAAATAAAGGTGATTAATTAAACTCTATTATAAAGACTTAAAACGTTAAATAATGATGATTATAAAAAATAAAAAATTAACTTAGAAAAAGTTAATATAAAGACTTAAAACTTGTAAAGTTTTGTTAGGATAAAAGTTAAATTAAAATAAATACGGGGAATAACGAATGTAAAATTTAATTTTCTAAACATTATTATTCTAATAATTTAGAATATATGAATATTTTAAAATTTAAATGAAATTGATATAATAGGTACATATAGAGTTTTTTATTACTAAAAACTAGAGTTAATTGCATCTCACGTTCTTAAATTATGATACTCATTCTAAATTAGCCTATAAATTTATTAACATTCCAATTTCACACTACAGCAAAACAGAGTTTAAGCGGCGACAGAAAAAACACCGCAATAAGCGTTGGCCATACCAGCGCCGCTAAAGTTAGCGACGTTTGAGAACAACAAACGCCGCAATAGGTTAAGATCTATAGCGGCGTTTTGGAACAAACGCCGCAAAAGGTCGAGATCTATAGCGGCGTTTTTGGAACAAACATCGCAAAAGATCGAGATCTATAGCGACGTTTTGGAACAAACACCGCAAAGATCGATATCTTTAACGGCGTTTTTGGAAGAAATGCCACAAAAGGTCATATCTATAGCGGCATTTTTGGAACAAATGTCGCAAAAGATCGAGATCTATAGCGGTGTTTTTGGATACAAACGCCGCTAATTACCTTTCTTTAGCTAAGATGAATTTGCATATTTCATTCCTGCTCTACAACAACCATACATTTTAATAAAGGCACAAGTTATGCAAAAAAATACTTAACAACAAAATAAATTAAAATTCATAAACATTAAAATTAAATGTAATGTAATTTGACATTGTTCTCTAAAACTTAGTCTAGGTTCTTTCACTTTCAATTAAAAAATATTGTTCACTATAATTTAGTCTTCATTGCTCTTTCGTGGGGAAAGGAAGTAAAAAATCCCCTAGCTCCGGTTCACCAAGAAGACTCCTTGCGCGGACTTTTGCTTTAACCAAACGCAAACAAGGAGTCTGGAAGATACAAAATATAAGAAATACTGATAAGAATCAACATGAAGCTTAATATAGAGAAAAAGGAAACATTTGGCATAGAATCAACCAGCAGAAATCCATAACTCTGAAGAGAATTTTCACTTTTCACAAGATACAATAAATATTGATGGAACAAAAATAGAAAGCCCACCCAGACCACAGAACAGGCTTCATTAACAGATGACTATCTGCATTCAGCAAGTTATTTTACTAAGAAAAAATGTAAATATAAAAGGTATCATGTTCAAACCACAAAACGAGAGAACCTTAGGTTAAAAAGGAGAGTTTGAGTGTTCATTTTTTTTTATCAAGATCACAATTAGGTTAGCCTTCAAAGTAAAATACTAATAAAAGTGGAGTTACCTGAAGGCTTTGACAGTACTTTTCAGCTTAGGATTTTCCAGGATATTTCTTGCACTTAAAGGAATATCTGCATCAGCCAGAAATTTGATAACAACAAAAATCGGCTAAATGCATTTGTTATCAAAACAAAAACAAAAGCACATCAAGTTAAACGGACATGCATGGAGCATTCATCAAAGACAGAGCAGGCGTAAATCCTTTTTATCATGTAATTTATTCTAAAGATAGAATATGGGTCATATCCAGAGAGATGCATAAGCAAGGTAAACACAAATGCAGAATCATCCATGAACATATTAATTACCAATCCAAAGCCGAATAGGGATGCGAGGAAAATATTCTTATCAGGCACAACTAACACTTATTGTAGTGCTTTAACGCTCTAACTGCCAAAGAGCTGAATCCACATTGAGGAAAATCAGGTACCCCTTTCATGTAAATCATCACAGGGTTTTCCTTGACATCATAGAATAACAGTTAATCACAATCATCAATACCATAGCTTATGCAATAAAGAAAACTTCTGAGCTACAAAGGGGAAGAAAGTTCCAATCTGCTTGTCTATATAATACCTAACATATCAAAGGGCATACCTACCTGTTCAACAATATCCTTAAAAGAAACAGCAGCAGAATCTTGAACCTTATTTGTTAGTCTAAAATCTTCATGTGTATCAGGCTCACGGGGAACAGTTGAGTATTTCAACCCATTCTGGTAGAAGGATCCAATCACCTAATAACAGCAAAACCAGAAGAAGGCCTCTTGAAATTAAAACATGAAAATAGTTTCTAAAGGTTCATATCCTGATTTTTAATGGAGCACAAAGAATCCTGAGACAGTTGCCAACAATTTAGAACAATATGAAGAAAGCTATTTGGGTTTAGAGAATTATCTAAAACACTAAACCCTAAACCCAAAACAAAACATAAATTGATTTCGCTACATAATGAAAGCAAAGAAAAATAATAAAATTAAAGATGATGAATTCGAACATACGTTTCTATTAGAACGAGCAGATGGGAGAGTGGCGATGGCTCTCAACAATGCGAATTTCAATAGACAAAATCAATCAATCGCAACTGAAAGATGAACAAAAAATGGAAATCGAATTTGTTTACCTTCGGGAAAGAAAATAAAAACCCTAATTTACTCATATGAGATTTGCTCAATCTAAAACAAACAAACTTAATTTACTAAAGCGAATAGAACTCATATTCTAAAAAAGGTGAAGACACCGTACCTCAGCAACAGTCCCTTTCATTCCATAAACTAGTATATGAGATTTGCTCAATCTAAAAAAAATACTCATATGATCGAAAATTAATATTAAAATAAAATCACACAAAAACCAGAATAAGTAGGGTAATACAAACCCTAGAACCCAGAATCATGCTTGGAAAACAAAGCAACTTTGAAGCTTTTGAAAGCGTAATATTAAGAAGAATGAACGGGCGGCCAAGCTTTGATTCTCTCTACGTTTAAGTCAACGCGAGTGGAGAAAATTGATTGCTTATAAAATTCAGCACCAAATTTCACATGAATTGGATCAAAAGAACTTAGAAAAGAACTTAGAAATGTAAAATCTAGGTTACAAAAAAAAAATAACAGAATACCGTAATCACATCAGAACAATAAAAGGGGAAATTACACTTCTTCGATGTCGGAGAAGAAAGGGAAAGCTTGCCGCCGAATACTAATAATTTCGCTACGAAGTTGGAGGGAATAAAAAGAAGATGTAAGCGGCGAGAATGGAAAAATAGGTGAAGGGGAAAAAATGAAAAAGGGTTAAAGGGGCGCGGGACATAGAAATTGTAAACTTGCGGCGTTTGTAAACACAAACGCCACTAAAGAACTGATAATTGCGGCGTTTGTATAAAAACGCCACTATAGGTAAATACTATTGCGGCGTTTGTATAAAAACGCCGCTAAATCTGTTGCGGCGTTTATTGAAAAACGCCACTATAGGCGAAACCTATTGCGGTGTTTGTATAAAAGCGCCACTAAAGTACTAATATGTTGCGACATTTATTGAAAAAACACCACTATAGATGGACCTATTGCGGCATTTGTATAAAAATGTTGCTAAAGTATTACTCTGTTGCGACGTTTGTCGAAAAATGCCAGTATTTATGAACCCTATTACGACGTTTATAAAGAAACGCTGCTAAAGTTATCATTTTGTGGAGTTTAGAATGTAAACACCGCTATATGTCTAAAGTTAGTGGCGTTTACTCTCAAAACGCATCTAAAGAACATTTTTACTGTAGTGTCATCATTAAACTATGACTATCGTTATAAATATGTCCTTAAATTTTTTAACATTTCAGTTTCATCCCAAACTATGATCTTCATTCTAAATTTGTCCTAAAACTTTTTGAACATTTTAGTTTCATCTAAAATTATATGTATATAATAATCATATCTCTTGTTAATAAAATTGTTAAGACAAGTTATATTATTGCATGTTTGAAAAAAATTAGGTTAAACTATCGTTGAAACTAATTATATATTTGGATGAATTTGGGGATGAAATTGAAAGATTCAAAAGTTAGAGGATCAAAATAGAATTAGAATCATAATTTGGGATGAAATTAAAATGTTTAAAAGTTTAGGGTCTGATTTAGAATGATAGTCATAGTTTTATAATGAAATTAGAAAATTCAACAGTTTAAAGACCAATTTGAAACGAGGGTCATAGTTTGGAGACATGATATAATCAACTCTAAAGATTACCAGAAATTGAAGGAAAAATATTTAAAATTCCTTATTTTTATGAGAAGGACTAATTTGTCCAATTTCAAAATTGAGGAGGTAATAGGAATTTTTACCAAAAGAGGAGGATTTGGAAATAGGGAAATAGAAGGATATAATCTCCCCCAAAGCTGACCAATAAGAACGCAGCATTGGAATACCCCAAATCCTGATACCTTTTTGTATTGCCCTCCACACTCATCTAACCCACTTTCCCATTATTTCACTCAGTCCCACATCGACGCAAAACCATGACCACCACTAACTCCCTCCACCAACATTACTCTCTCCTCAAAAGCCTCTCCACCTCAGAATCCAACCACCCTCCTCCTCCCTCCTTCCTCTTCCTCCACCCCACCACCACCACCTCCACCGCCATAACTACCACGACGACCACCTTCTCTCTTTCCCCTCCAACTTCTTCCACCACTTCCACCTCCCCAACTTCCCAACCTATCTCCTTCGACACCCTCCAACACCACCTCTCCACTCGAAACTTCTTCCATGCCGACGAGGAAACTCGCCGCCTCCTCATCGTACTCGCCGGTGAGGCCGCTCAGAAACGCGGCTACGTCTTCTTCTCCGAGGTGCAGTTCATCGCCGAAGCCGACCTCAAAGCCATAGACGAACTCTGGAGACAGTACAGCAACGACATATTCGGGTACAGTATCCAGAAAAAGCTATGGCAAAAGGCCAACAAGGACTTCACTAAGTTCTTCCTCAAAGTCGGGTGGATGAAGAAACTGGACACGGAGATCGAGCAATACAATTACAGGGCTTTCCCGAGTGAGTTCACGTGGGAACTCAGTGACGAAACCCCCGACGGTCATCTTCCATTGACGAATGCTCTGAGAGGAACTCAGTTGCTCAACAGTATCCTCAGCCATCCAGCTTTTGAAGCTGAAGAAGATGAAAAAGCAGCTGAAAACGAAGCCAAAGGAAGCTCAAGAGATGGTGTCTATGGTACTAAGCCACTCGGCAGCTTGTTTCCTAAACCATATTATAGCTTTTAATCAGGTTCTTTAATGGCGTCTTTAGCAGAATACACTGAAACTATTGTCTTTTCGTTTTCAATGTAACCTCTTCTTGTTTTTATCTTTGAAGCTATGATTGATTCAGTCGTATACTTTTTTCCAAGTGTACATCATGACTCATTGGTACCTTTTCAAGTATTAAATGCGGAAGCTGAATCTTTAATGCTTTTCCCCATTACTAAATTTCATGTAACTAAACTATAAATGAATTATGCTTTTGGTTAATAAAATTTTAAAACTTATAAAATAATTATTAAATTATTGAATAATAATTATTGCAACATTTTAATAATCATACAAATATAATAGTTATTTTATAACCGTTCGATAAATTTTAACAAATATAATGATCAAAATGGGCAAAACTTTCGAGATAATGTTCTGGAAAAAATTAATTCACGAGATAAAGCACTTCTAAGATTAATTGCTCAAATAAGGTGAAATCCACAGTGTTGGTCGTAGGTCGCCATGCCTTCCAGGCGACCTACTAGGTCGCCATGTCTTCCCGGCGAGCTACAAGAGATAGCATGTGCCATGTACGTCCCAACACGCTGGGCATCCGAGGCCATCCGAACGAGCTATGTGAGGGCAGCCGAGCGAGCTATGCGAGGGAATCCGAGGGCAGCCGAGCGAGGGTAGGTCGCCCGGAGTGTATGGCGACCTACAAGGTCGCCCGGAGGGCATGGCGACCTATGTGTTGGGACGTGCATGTGCCATGCAACACGTTCATTCTCTCTGTTTAAGCAAGGGTAGGTCGCCTGGAGTGCATGGCGACCTACAAGGTCGCCCGAAGGGCATGGCGACCTACAAGGTCGCCCGGAAGGCATGGCGACCTACGGCCAACACTGTGGATTTCACTCTATTTGAGCAATTAATCTTGGGAGTGCATTAGCTCGTGAATTAATTTCTTTCAAAACATTATCTCGAAAGTTTTACCGATCAAAAGGCTACATTTTATTAATTTTTGTTTAGGTATGTATGAATTCTTTATTTAATTATATCTTTTAATTTAATTATTTTGTGTTGATACATCTCATCTTCTTCAAATTATGGATTCATTATCTATTAAAAGCAAAATTCTCTTTTACCCTTAAATAAGATTTTTTTTTAAAAAAAGATTTAATTTATGAGTAATAAGTAAAGGAAATTTAATAATAATCCATTTACTTTTAGATATAAAATAACTAAATATAAATATTATTATAAATAAATAAACATAAATAAATATACAAATGAGTGACATGCATTGTATGAAAAAAAGATGCAAGTGAACTAATGAATTAGAGAAATAGGGGACATTTTCATCGTGACAAATTTTAATAAAAAATATATTTTATTATAATTTTTCATATCCATGCAATAAGTTCCAAAATAATATAATAAATATCATAAACCTCAAAATAAAATTTACCTTAATAATATATTTCAAAAAAAAAAATTAGAGCCATCGTTATTGCATTAATTTTGCCCTTCTTTCCGCTTCAGATATCAGCCACGTATCCGACATGTTCCGCTGTTCCGCTCCAGAAAATATACATGGATTAATTACGTGCTGGGGTCTGAGCTTATTAACACCTCTCAATTTGGTTTCTGGAAACCTTTTTCCTCACTTAATACTCAGACTTTTATTCCATCAACTAAACCTACCTAGAATTTATCGAAGGATTGCCTACATCACTAAAGAATTACTGTATCCTGGTTGTGGTGGATAAATTCACTAAATACAATCATTTATTGGCACTGTCCCACCTTTATTATGCAGCTGATGTAGCTAAATTATCCTTTGATAATGTTTACAAACTACATGGTCTAAAATGACAATTTCAGACAGGGACAAAACATTTACTAGTGTCTTCTGGAGGGAAATGATGAAGCAGTTGGGAACTAAAATTTTGTTCAGTATTGCTTACCACCCAGAAACATATGGGCAAACAGAGCGGGTCAATCAATGCTTAGAGCAATATCTTAGGGAACTTTGTTTTTTTTCAACCTAAACAATGGGCTAAATGGTTACCTTATGTAGAATGGTGGTATAATACCACTTACCACACCTCCCTACAACTCACTCACTTTCAGGCTCTATATGGCTATAAACCCCTAACTATGGTATGATACACAGACTCTCAAGTACAAACTGTCAGTGAAATGATGAATAACAGAGAAGAAATTCGACAACTAGTTAAGTATCAATTGGAATAGGCTAGCAATCGAATTAAACAACAAGAAGACAAGAACATATCAAAATGAGTATTCGAAGTTGGGGATGAGGTTTACCTCAAATTGCATCCTTACAGACAAACTTCACTCGCCTTGCACAAAAACCTGAAATTGACAGCCAAGTATTATGGTCCATACAAGATTTTAGAGAAAATCGGGGTAGTTACATATCGTCTAGACTTACCTTTGACATCGCGTTTGCACCCGGTGTTCCATTTTAGCCTCCTAAAGAAACGTATTGGTGAAGCCTCGACACCTGCAACCGATCCTCCTACAGTAGATGAAGATGGCCAGTTCAAAATAGAACCCTCCAAGATAGTGGGAAGACATATTGTTAATCATGATAACAAACCAGTGACTCAACTTTTAGTACGTTAGGCGAATCTGGATGAGACGCACGATACTTGGGAGGATTTCTCCATTCTCAAAGGCTAATTTCCCTCATTTGATCCTTGGGGACAAGGATCGTCTCAAGGGACGGGTATTGTCACAGTTGGAGAAGAAGAAAGACGAGGAATCGATGATGAATTAAGGGTCGAGGGTTAGGGATTGAAGGAGAAGAATTGGGAAAATGTATCAACAGTGCACGTGAGAGGCATGGGGAAGGATTAAAACTCCTATCAACTGAACCGATTGATGTTGGATCAGCCCAGGCAAGGAAGCCCAATAGACCTGCAGAATAATGATAGGGTTGGTTTGCAAGGACAACACATGAGATTTCAAAGATTCTCAAGTACTATTGTAAACAAATAAAACCGTGTACCCTATAGAAAATCGTTATGAAAAGTATTGAATGGATGTTTCTCTTCTGAATCCTCTCTTTTCTTCTCTATTTTCCTCGATCCTTCTCTATTTCTCTTAAGGTCATAACATAATTTTGCTCAGTCATCTCAAGATTGTAACTGGATAGGAAACTGTGACTCAGTGATTTTTTTTTTCTCTTGTCACATACATTTACCAAATAGTTTATGTTAATGGTATATAGTGCTCCTTTCTAGCTTTCCTGGAATTTGAAACCTTGTAACCAAAGTATTCATGCACTTGCAACTCATGCCAAAGGAATTCATATAGATCCTAGCTGCTGATTCGGTCTCCAATCCTCTTTTAATGTTTTCACAATCAACATAGAGGGAAAAACAAATAGAAGATTTATCAAATATGATTTTTTTTCTTGCCTCCTATTTTCTTGAGGAATTCACATCTTTATTGATATTTGATGCCACTGGCTCAAATGGTATCACCAAACCCACTTGATCTCCTTTCAGAAAAATTAATATGACTTGGGTATTTTAGAATTTACTAAAGCCAAACTTCATTTCCCTATTTTCTTCCTTATTTCATCAACCAAAAGGCCACACCGTATGATATTTAAATAACTTTATTACCTCCGTTCCTCTGATAATCTGTTCTCTCTTATTCTGAATTATTAAATCATGCTCATGATAATGTTTGCATCAAAGGATGGTTAGTAGTGAACAGCCTTTTTTCCTATGTCTGTGGTAGGGGAGGTGGTGTACTTGTTGCTCAAGTTATGTGGGCTTGCTAAATTTGGTCCTGACATTTGTGTCTTGCATGCATGTTGAAGGACGTTCACAACCATCTCGCAGGCGGTCTCTCTTTACCTTGGCTTCCTACATACTTGTTTTCTCAGCCAGGGCAGCCAATTTTCCAGAGTTGATCTCTGTTTTTAAAGGATCTCTGACAGCTAAAACGGTCAGTTTCTTATCCTTGATTCATAGGTAATCTTTTTAATGACACTTTTTGCTGAGCCTTCAACTTATAATTAAGTTTATCATAATTTGCACAGGCTGATCCTTATCTCAAATTAGATGAAGATGTCGGACTTAGGGCTGTATGTGAAAAATCAGATACAACATATGGATCCAAGGAAGATGATGATGGATTAAAATCCCTCTCGCAGTAGAGCTAGATAACCTATATTTGAAGGAGATTGTCATATCCCATTTCAGGACGAAATTTGAGAAATTTTCAGAGGTGATATGTCAGTTTCTTGATTATTGGTCTATTATTCTGATCTATATGATGTGCTAGCTTTCCTATTTCTATTGATGGATAAGTATTTAAAGTTGAAGGTTGAGTGAACCAACGGTGCTTTAGACTAGTTAATATAAGATTATTGTTTAAAAATATCTTATGTGGCTTGTAAAGAATAATAATGGCATTATCAGCACTACCGGATGGCTATGATAAGGGATTATTTATTGCATGTTTTTACGTTGTTCCATTTTCATGTAAAAGGAATTACTAGAATTTACGGGATCTTGTTTGCAAAATGATTATTGTTATCCCATGTGTTCTCCCAGGATGACTTATCAAGTATAAAGAAACAACTTCGTGTGGTCTTTTCACCAGATGATGCATACCTATTAGGTGTTCCATTGTCACGGCCTAGTGCTCCTCTTTAGCAGATGGAGTTCCAGTCAGTTGAAGAGGTAGATCGTCTTCGATCACATTCACTCCCCATAACACTTTCATAAGGTGTGGTTGACTTGTGGTTTTCTTTCAGATGCCTCTAGCAGCAGTAATAGATGAAAAAGGCGGAAGTCAGGCATGCCAGAAAGCATCATTAACCACCAGCAAACTAGATGTCATAAGTGCCAATGAGCTAGTGGATTCGGTAAGATGAGCAGCTGTGTTTAATATATTTTCTCAATGAAGCTGGAAACAGTAGGATGGTATGCCTATATTCAATTTCATTGACCATTTGGATCCTGCTATTTGCAACTCTTATCATGCAGTATGTGTTGGATCATAAACTTGA